CTCGTGTCCAGGACGGACATGGGGGAGGTCGGACCCACCACGGGGACATGCCTGTTCATGGGCTGCCGTCCCCTGCAGCCTGTCACGGGCTTAGGCCCGGGTGGTCCCTCGGGGAACCGAGGCTATATCGTGCGGGAAAGCGATATGGTCCCCGGGGAACTGTGAGACTGAGGTGGGCTGATGGTGTGTAAGCGGGACCCTCGAACACCGATGCTCGTCGTGGGAGAGGACTAGTAGGGCGGTCTCTCTCTAAACTGCGACAACCTACAACCATGGCGATTCCCTCATCTCTACTTCCGGTACGGCTAGGAAACGGGGAGGGGGCCCAGTGGATGAGGCACAGTTGTTGTGAAACACCATAGATTTTTCTGGCCGGCTCTCTATCGTGGAACGTGGGGCGTATTTCATGACATATAAGGCGCGGCATCACGAGCAAACAAGCAGAGTATTTCGTAGCCAGACGCGGTACTGCCACCTTGCGTGTGTTGGGCGCCGGTGCCGATAACCCCACATACAAAGTCTCTTTGGCTTCAATCACCGCGGGTGGAATGTGCTGAACTACATCCATGAAGTGTGTCACTCACCTTAGCATAATTCCATGCTGTAGTGAAATCTGGCTCGGGTAGGGCATCTTCCCAGTCGAGAGTCGTGTCACGAAGACGTCCACGGCATGCCCGACCGTGTGGAGTACCTTCACAGTTACGACCCGTATATTTTAAACCGACACTTCCCGTTGGGAAATCTCGATAGTACCGCCTGAAAATGGTTGACGCACATCAAACGAGAACTCACTGCAAAGGTTCCCTAATGGACGCCCCACCACGCTCAGAGCCGCAACGCGATCGCCCGCGTCTCTGTTCGGAGGGTAGATATTATGTCAGGTTTCTCACCTGGAGCATTTCTCACACTGCTCACAAAACACATTTCCATGAAGCTCAGCCAATCGATTCAATGGGAATGACGAGCGTGGGTGTAATCCATCGACATTTTGCGATACTAGAAATCTGAAACCGAACTCACTGATCGTAAAAATGACCCTCCTTAGCAAAGTATTCACTTCACCAGTCCTCGCTCTTCCAGTATCCGAAGTGCCCGGTGTGTGAAAGTCGGACGAGCGCGTGTAAAATCAACACTCTCAGCTACGCGACCCTCTTTCTCAATGGTCCACACCCCATTTGGGCCACGAAAATCAGCGATACCAGCGGATGTTGAAATTCCTACACGAGCATTAACAAGAAAATTTGGAAAACATAAATAATTACGGATGAATTCAAGGACTAACCTGCTCCTGTGACAACAAATGTGCATTTACTTTGTAGCAGTAGTTGAGCCAGTTCTGCACATTTCTTATCAATCTCTTCAGGTGAGTCGCGAAACTGAAACGGATTTCGGATGTGAGACATAGAAATCACTATGGAGAAGATTTTGACCACGTCGAGTGGTCCCTTTTCAGGCGCATGGCCGAGTAGTCCCTTCCTCTCTTCCCCTCACCCTCAACTAGTTTCGTTCCCTGGATCCTACGTCCGAAATATGAAATTTGGCTCTGGCCCGCCCACTTGTGCGCACCCCCACTCCAGCTTTGTTTCCCTCTTCCTTTCCGTCGACCCTTTGCTAACCATAGTCACCTTTCCCCCGAGGTCTGGGGTGGAATCTTTATGGGCATGGCTTCACCCACATCGACGCGCGCCCCGCTCACAATGGCGTGCCTCCACTTCTCAACTGCTGAACCCTGTCGGTTTTGATTCACTTCTTTCGGGTCTCCGGAGTGCTCTGGAACCGAACTGCCAATTTTCGAACGGGCACATATTAGAGGGCTCTTCTCCATCAATTTCTTTTGCGATCTTCAAAGTTCCCTGCGGTTCGTGGCTAACACCGCTCATCCTCAGCACGCCCCGCCCATTTCAGGTGTGTCCCTCCCAATGAGTTTGCCAACCCCTCGCTAGCTTAGTCCACTTTTATCCCATCTGTAGGCTGCTCTGGAACTCAGGATTTGAAAAGATATCTTTCACGAGGAACCTATCGAGAGAGACAAGAACAAACCAAACCTCTGGCATGCCTACTTGACCCTTGTTCTCATATGGAGACAACGCTTGAGCATAGTTCAGCGACATCTCTAGAAAATACTAATCAGTTTCAAATAGGATGAATACGCAATGAAGCACTCATGGGTTTAATGGTGCTACTGCAATTGAGAGAGCCACGTTGTGAAGCGAATAAGCCTGCTTCTTCGCGTCCTTCTGCCCCCTCCCCTCGTACACACTCGTCCAGCTACCCAACTGCAGTAACTTCTTCAAAAACGAATCCATGATGGACTAAAAAAGTTCTCGTCCAATCAGTTGCAGGAGAAAGGAATTCAGTGAGCACAGCACTCTTTCG